GATTAGAAACCATTTATTTCCCCTCTGCAGCTGAGGTTTGTCATATAAATGTGGTTCCAGGAGCTAGAGCTTTAGGGGAAAAAACGGCAAGCATCTCCATTAAAATTATGAATGTCAGCAACTCTCTTTGTATTTATGAAAACCTTAGTAAAGCCCAGCAATGAATTAAGATGGAGCTAAGAGTGCAATGAGTCCTGATAAATCCAGGCTTGACCCTTCAATTTGCCACTGAATTTCTGTATCACCTCAGGGAAGTAGGTCCTGCTTAGCTTCAATGAAGATGTTGAGTCTACTTACTTTGTCAAGGACAAGCAGAGAGTGCTCAGCATCTTGCAGATGGAGTCTTTTATTCTTCAGTGTTCTACATATAAGCCTCGGATGAAGCTACTTCTGTCTTGCTCTTGATTGAGCAGGGATTTTCCTTGACAACTTGACACACATTCAAAAACCACTTGGTGACTATTAACCACAATTAATCCTCTGCAATAATTTCTGCACCATCATTATTCTGAAGGCATAATGTTTGGTGCATGTTAAAATTACAGACATTGAATAAGCACTGAATATTGGCATTGCTTGATGAGTCTGCCACCAGTATATGTTGCAGGGACTGCATGGGGACTGTACCTGGAGGATCCCACATGCAGCAAAGCAGGCAGTGATACGAAACTGAAAAAAACCCCATGATTTGCTAATTTACAACTAATAATTAAAAGGGCCTGTCAAGGAGCCAAGCTTCCTCAGCATGTGTTTATCATTACTTCTGAGAAGGTCATTGCTGGCTTCTCCAGGAAAGGAGTTCCAGAGAGGGTACAGTAAGTGCACAGAGTTTAAATGAGCAGCCCCGGTGCAGACATTTCACAGTCTTCAGGGATGCACAAACAATTCTGCCTCAGCAGCACAGAAACAATGCCCTGTATTCACAAAGACTACAGGAACTTCAATATTGTGTGGAAGGGAGGTGGGGGTGAGGGAAGTCTTGAAATGCGGATAAATTGGTATTCACCAAGTGCCATTCCTTAATTTACAACAGTCTTTAACTTCGGAGGCAATTGCCAAGGTGCTCATAAAAAGAGAGATGATGAATATTCAGGATGTCTTCTGAATCCATTAGGCAACTGAGGATGAGGTCTCCATATGTATAACTCCGGCTGTTTTCACATGCTGGTAGAGAGAGTGCCAAGGTGGCGTCAGGAAGAAAAATGGCTCCTTAAGTTGCCAATGGGGAGAGGAGAAAGGGGGGAAAAAAGTGTATATCAAGTGCATGGAAATGAGAATTTGTTTAAGTACAGTAATTCAACCTAAATGTGCACTGCATGGCACGGCATGAACCTGGTTTTCAGAGCGATCTGGCACAGCCAGCTCCATGGACAGGTGTGTGTAGGATCACTGTCAAGCTGAAAGAAATCACTGAATGGTTTTCTTTTTCCACACCATCCCCTCCAAGGGTCTCAGAGAGCCTGAGCTAATTCAGCCTCAGGACAAGGCTCAGGATAGACCAAGAAGAGGAAAAGCTCAGTTTACAGAGGCTGAGGGAAGCACTGATTGTTTGGCCCTGGGTAAAGAGCAACTTAGTGATGGAACAAGCTTTCTCCATCTGCTCCCCCATCTTCCTGTTTGCCTGCTTGACAACCTTTACCAACAGACTAGATAAGGTAGATGAGGCACTTACAATCGCAGTCAGTAACTGATGAGGAAAACATGCTGTCCAGCTCTTACATCCCAGAAAATAATGTCTCCTGGATGCCATGAATCACAGAGGATCACAGGCCATTAATCACCAAAGGGTGGAAGGGACAAATTCAAAGTCATGTGTGCCAAACACAGACGTTTCTCGGGGGAAACTCAGACCTGGCATGATTCATTTTGCTTTCTCAGGGAGGATTCACAAGGGTTAGAAGAATAAATAAGGCTACAGCCTCCTGAATTCACCTGATAGCAAGGCCAAGCCTCCCATTTAGGAGAGGAGGCTTTGGTCACAGGAGGTGCGTATTGCCACAGCAGGCATGGGGGCTATGTAAGAGCGATACACCTGGCTTCCCAGAGTCACTGTAATACTATTCAGTCCACCTGGTTTTCCCCAGTGGACTCTAGGGAGTCACTGGAATTTGCAGGGAAAGCAGAAGGGTGGCAGCCTTCATTGTCCCTGTCTCTTGGGGTTGTTGGTATCCTTATTTATTAACAACTCAAGCTCACAGCCTGTTGCTGGAACCTCCCTGGGCTGCAGCTTTCTAGAAGGAAGAGGCTATTCCCTGCTGCCCTGGGTTCAGCAGTAGCAGTTAAGCACTCTGACCAAGGACTTTCTGAGTCTCATGCTCTGCCAGCGAGGAGGGGAAGCCAGGAGGAAGCAGAGACAGGACACCTGACCCAAACTGACCAAAGGGCTTTTCCATACCACAGAACATCATGACCAGTATATAAACTGGGGGCAGTTACCCCGCAGGGATAGATTGCTGCTCAGGAAGGGCTGGGTATCAGTGGTGAGCAGCTGTATTCTCTTCCCTTGTTATTTCCCTTATCACTATTATTATTGGTGGTAGCAGCAGTGGTTTTGTGCTATACCTTAGTTACTGGACTGCTCCTATCTCAACCCATGTGAGTTACATTCTTTCAGTTCTCCTCCCCATCCCTCCAGGAGCAGGGGGAGGAAGGGAGGGGAGTGAGCGAGTAGCTGCGTGTCTCTGAGTTACCGGCTGGGCTTAAACCATGACACCTGCAAACTTGTATTGCCTCCAAGTGAGCAGCAGATGTTCGTTACCTGCCTTTCCAGCCATGACCATAAAAGGTGGTGGGCATGGTGGGAACACACAGAGAGGTCTTGCTGGGGAAGTACTCAATGAATCTTAGTAGTCTTTGTTGCTGCCCTTTAGGCAAATTAAGAGCCAGCAGCTGATGACCAGGTAGTGCATGAGGCTCTACTGCAGATGCCAGGTCATCACAGATCCATATACCCAGCTCAGGGACCTTCGAGTGTGCAGCTTACCCCTCCTAAGTGTGGATGTGGGAAGAAGGATGTTCCTCACACCTGAAAGATGCATTACCTGCCTATCACAAATTATTATAGTCATGGCTACTTTAGTTGCTTGTGTAGCTGTTTGTATTGTTTCTTATTTTTTCCACATCAGTATCCCATCCACTTTAAACAAAACAGGCAAACACACCTGGAGCAGAACAAGCAGTTGACTTAGTAAAGACGAATACAGTTCTTCAGACTCACAGATTATCTAGCTGCAGAGCCTGAGTTCAGTTCAGAGCTGAGATTTTCACTCTTCGCAGTGATTTACAGAACACTTTGTGTTCACACCACTCAGCTTTCTAGGGTGGGCTTCTTTTCTTTTTAGAACTCTTTTTGTCTGACCCATCACTCATTATTTCGCATATGGGACTGGTCACCAGTTCTGTGATGAAATGAATGAAACGTGATACATGAGAGAGGGTACTTCCATCGTTAATCCCCAGCATCTACATTCACAAACGAGTATCTTGCCCACATGCATGGGTATTTGCAAGAAGAACAATGAAAACGTGGCAATAGGCTGAGCAGCCCCCCATTTGAGTGTTTGCAGGAAGCTGTCAAAAAGCAGGAGAGCGGTAGAAGCATGCTGAGTCCAGAGCATTCCATAGAACTGTTCCATGGACATGTTCCACAATTGTCTTTCCTCCCTGTGCTCTCAGCTGCAATCACCAGGAGCACACAGGGGCATGGGCAACATGAGCACATGCTTTTCCCACTGCTTCTAAGGTTAATATAAATAATGTTCCACAGTCTGTTATTGTGGAAATACCAGCCATCATCCTACTAAAATAAGACCAAGAATTATAGCTAGACATTAATAAGAAGGGACCAAACAAAGCATCTCGAAGATGGCAGAATAACACCACCATAGTGACTAACAAGATGAAATAGCTCTAGACAAGTTTTCCCTCATCTACTGTCAGCAGTCATCCCTTATGCAGCACTCTGAGGATTTCAGCAATGTTCTGGGCTCACAGCAGCAGAGGCTGCACTGAGGCATTACAGTTCAGCCGGTGAGCTCCAGTCTGTCAGTGGTGTGATTAGCCATGGTCTGAGAAGGTAGCCAGCAGTGTCTGCATTCCAGACCACAACTAAGAGTCTCTTTCACAGTTCATTGCATTGCAATGAAAATTAATTTTCCTTCATCATTTTAGTCTCATGAAAAGAGAAAAAAAAAGGGGGGGTGGGGGGGAAAGGAGTGACATAATAGGAGGGAAAACCCACAGGGCACTTAACTGAAGGAGCTCTCTGAAAGAGGCTCTAAAGATGGAAGTCTTGTCTGTCATCTCAGCTGCTAAGTAATACTAGCGGTTGGACTCTAGGAAAAATTAGTACAAATTGCATTGCAAAAAGGACTGCTGCAGAGATGTTCCTGTGTAGTTTTATGGTTGCGGTGAAGACCAGTGGGCGTTAAACTTGCCTTCAGGGGTATAATTTGGGTAAATCTCAACTTTCAAGTCTTCAGCCCCTGAACTGAAAAGGCGAATTCCCCATTAACCACGGCCCTGCTTCCAGATCTTTCACTTACAGCATTGTGTGCAGGTATTTGTGCCATCAAAAATCATGGCAGCTTTTCTAGAAGTGTCTGCACCCAGAATGGTTGGGTACATATTTTGGAAGCTATGATGACTTTCCCAGGCCTTTCTGAGGCAAAATGAAAAGCATCAGTTGGAAACAGAACCTCTGTATGCTTTTCCCTTGCTCTGAATACAAGCTTCATCTATTTTTTTTTCATTTTTTTCCATCGAGAAAAGTAGTGTTTCATGTAAGTTACTGCACAGGTTGGATGTTGCCAGTTAGGTCCAGACTATTATCCTCTTGCCTGTGTTTCCTTTAGTTTCTATTGCCGTAGTTCAGAATATTTCAGCTCCAGTTCTATGAAGTCATTTCTTATAGTTACCAAGTGCAATGAAAGGCCCAGGTCATTGACAGATTATCAGTGGTGATGCTGGTATCCGTCATTTTCATTCCTCTATCATGGGAGATTCAGGCCTGGATATTTGTAGGAAGATGAGTGCCAGACTTCAAAACAAACAGAATGAGAGGACTGAAGTTCTTTGTGTTACTGCTCAACACCACCAGCAGCAGTACAGACATTCCACATTGTTGTCAAAGGGCTTCAGCACTGACCACCTCTCAGGAAGAGTAAGTGGTTTATGTCTCATGATCCTCCATGCCCCTTCCCAATTCCATGCCGCCTCAGTCCTTTTTACACCTAAATAAAGAAACATTATAGAGTCAACTGTAGAGAACCACCTGAGCTGCTTTGCGTGGATGAAGGACTGACTGTGACACTGCTGGTGTGTGAATCTCTAGATTTAGAGGGTTCTGTTTAGAACAAACTCAGCTTATTAAATGACAAAGTCATCTATTCAAATGCAATGAACTTAAGCTTTTTCTTTCTTCTAACAGCATAACTTCATTCACTTCAATGGAATTGCATTTGGTTTACACAGGTGTGAGAGGGAAATCAAGTAGCATATAGAAATGTTTTCTTTTGAAATATTTTTGGAGAAAAGGGGTAAAAAGCCTGCTTTAAGACCAATGCAAACATATTCATGGAAATTTTCATTAAGGTTGAAATTTTCTGGACAAAAACTGGAAATTATTCCCCCCCCCCAATAGTTTGATTTTCAAAAATCCCACAAACATTTAAATGGAAATCTAAATATTTTCACAAAAACTTTAATTGTATTTTTAAAGCTTTGAGTTTCCTTTTTGTTTTTTTGTTAATCAAAAATTGAAGTCTTTTGTCAAAAACCCTTAGGAAACTAACTTCTTTTTTTAACGTTTCCCATAACAGATTTCTTTAAGCAACTTTAATAGAATGATTAAAAGGACTATGAATATGAAACCAATAAAAACCTGTCACGCCAAGACTGACAAATTAAACGGAGGTTTACATATGTGAAACCAGGGATGCACATGAGTTGTTTAATCTATAGGTTTAAGATGTTTCTGCTAACATATTTCATACAGGGGCAAGTGAAGGGCAACGGGAAGGTTTTCCTTGAATTTAGATTTTATACAGGTTACATAAAACTAAGAAGGAAATTAAAGGAGAACAGAGGGAGATTGAGTAAAAACAAAAAGTGATCCCAAGCAAAAGCCATCTCTCTACATTTTGAGCCTCCTCAAGTTATTGATGTCCCTTGTATGATATACTCAACAATTATCTAGAGCATGGGTTCCAAAATTGGTGTTCATTTTGTCCAAAGCAATTGGAAACCTCTGATCTAGCTACTCTGCATGTTTAAGCACTGCAACAGAGATACTCTAGAGCAGACTATCTGCAGGCAGTAATTAAGGTCTCTTCCTCATTTTTCTCAGCAACGAACAATCTGAATAGGTGCCTTCCCTTAAACAGTCATTCAACACAACAGAGTGCTGAAGTTTCATTCACGTAATGGTAGTGCCACTGCCTCATAATATAGAAGAATAGAGCGAAATTCAAAAAATAAAGAACAAAGCCCTGAGCTGAGGTCTGAAGACATGGCTTTCAAAACCAACTTTTCCAAATGTGAGAAGGAAGTTGTGACTTTTGTTTATGAAACATTTCTCTTAGAAAGACCATAAGAGCTAATTACGAGAAAACAAGAAAGCACTCTTTCACATGGACAACAGAGATCCCAGTCCAAAGAGGGATCAACTTTACAGAGCTTAAAGAGTATGGTTCATGAAGAAAAAAGAGTAAAAGAACATCTGTACACTTTCAACCTAAGACTGAATGGTTCCATCACAATCCTGTTTGCACTTGGCATTGCTACCCAGCATTGGCCAGGATATGCAGGCACACAGCCAGCTATCAGCAAGTAATGCTGGCTGTCTGTGGTGGGAACCAAAACCACCCCAAACTTCCTGGACATACCTGGCAGGAACAAGAGGTGATTGAATTCGTTACACAACCTCTTTCCCTAGTCATACCAGCTTGGGGATAACTAGAATTTGAGTGGTCTCAAAAACTACAGGCTGAGTGAATGTGAGAGGAACAAAAGCAGGGAGAAAACATTTGGACAAGAGTTGAAAATAAGCTGGAGAAGGTGCGTTTGCTGTGTTGTATGCCCAACAAATAGTATTTAGTAATATAAGTTTTATAAGATGCTGTAATATTCCTGAAACTTTTGTAATATCATCCCAAGATGCAGACCATTACTTCTTTATTAGCCATAGCAAAAAGCACTGAAATCATCATTTGTGTTTAAAAGAAAAGAGAAGGTATGGGGAAGAAATTGAAAAGAGAAGAGAGGAAATGAGAGTCATCACACCGTATCTCTCCCAGAAGAACGAAAATCCAGAAGCTGCTTTCTTTCAGGGAAAAGAACCAGGAAGGAAGTTTTCAGCAAAATAAGGACAGCAAAAGGGAGGTCAGGCTTCCTCCTGAGCAAAGAGGGAGAATTTCTTTCATGGGGTTGCTGTCTGAGTCTAACAGGAAGAGACTTAAGAGGTTACATCTGCTAGGGTTCCCCAAGAGATCACTGAGAGTTGACTTGACTGCCCTTCAGCCATCTACACGGGGAGACACGTTTCCCCTCTCAGACAAGAGTATAACAAGGTCTAGTGACTACAAGATGAAACCGGCAGAATTAAGGCACACTGGTTATAACAGAGAGTATTTTCAGTAACCTCCCTAGATGTGTGGCAGATTCTCCCATGATGTGAGGCTTCTGAATCAAGGCAACATATTTCAAAAGGTAGGTTTTAATTAAATCTAAGGGTACAATTTTTTATGCATAGCTTATGGCTTTTTTTTTAATAGGAATTTAAATTAGATAAACGTAATATATCTATTTCTTCTGCCTTAAAATCCATAAAAGTGCAAAGAAACAAATCTTATGTTGTTGTCCTTTAGTGAAAATTATTAAAATAATCCATCTTTCACAAGACAGTTTTGAAGCAGTTTATGAAACATTAATAACCCCCAAAAAGTATCTTCAAATCAGGTAGTAAAAGTCCAAATCTCTCAAAGAAATGTCTTCTGCTGTGAACTACTGATGCGATTCAGGAGCACTTAGTCTCCAGGAACACAAATACATTTTAACCTAACAACCAGGCACAGCCACCAAAGTGTTCTGTTTTATTCCAGTCTCCTGAAGTAAGTAGAAAAGAAACAAAGAGATTCAAAGACTGTAATAGAAATAACTAGGAACAAGGGAAAATAAATTAAAAGATTCAGCCTTTTTGGTAGAAAGGACATGGCTAAGAGTCAAGTTCTTCTCTCTTGTAATCCAAGAACCCGAAGGCTTGCAATGGACAGGAGACATAATGAATTCAAAATGAATGAAGGAAAATGTTCTTTCACTGCAAATTCATTGCCAGTCCACAGCTGGCAGATTCTCAGGGTTCAGTGGAAGAATCAGCTAATTCCTACTTCTCCTCCAAACGCTACATACGTGAAGTCTCAAGTCAATATGTACACACCTTGGCCATGCAATTCTATAATCCTACAGATGGCAATAGCTGGTGAAACAAGGTGTGCACATTCAATGTGTTTGTGACCTCCTCAATCACACAGAAGTGATTGCATTGGTCTCCCTTCTACAAGCCACACCAGCTCCATATTTCAGTGATCCACTCACAAAGCTTTAGACTCAACAAAATGTGTATTTCCTGTTCTCTAAGTCATACTATTTACTGAGTGTAACATGACTTTAGACTGATCGCTACTCCAGTCATCCTACTTGGCCCAAAGGCCAGCTGCAGAGAACTCTTCCTTCAAAGTCAAATGCCACCAACTTAACAGAAAAGAATGATCTGAGCGTCCCTTCCCAGAAGACTATGAGAACTATGAAACAAGCTTCAAACAGAAAACCGAAAGTCCTTAAAGCATAGCCAAAATCTTTGAAGGCTAAGGAACATAAGAGTGAGCCAGGATGCAAACCCAGTCCTAACCTTGCAGGCAGTAGCATAGCTTCCTACGTTTCTGGGCACAAATTATCCACTGACTAAAGGGCATTGGGAACAGTATTCCTATGTAATGGCATTTCTATAATTATCCAGTATGAATTTCTTTGCACCTTTTTCCTAGGTCGTCAGCTCTTGGCTTCAGCCAGTGACAGGACACATGCGACAGGATGAATCTGATTTTCCCATTCATTTCTTCTGCTCTTTGACTCTTCTTTAGCTTTAGGCTTGGAGAGGAACTGTGTCTGCCTGGGTGTTTTGAAAGAGCCTGTTGAATGCAGAAGCTACTGCACGTGTCATCATTATTTTTGCAATTAGAGTCATCATTCTGTGCTTAGATGCCGTGCAAGAAAATGAGATATAACTGCCGAGATAGTTGGCAGAGAGCCTAATAGATTATAGAGTACACAGTGTCAGAGACACAAGCAGTACTCATCTTAAGTAAGATTTTAATACCCTTAAAAGCTGTGATAAATTATAGAGAAAGGCAATATAAAATGTAGGGTAAAGTGTGGGCTCATTTTATTTCAGGCTCTCTACCACGCGGGGACGAAAGGAGAGGGGGAAAGGGGATGGATCATGGGTTTTATTGCTTGGCTGCAATGTCAAAATTGGGTTGGTTTAAAATATTTATGACATGAGAGAAAGAAAATCTGTGAATTACTCAGAACTTAATGTATGTACTCTCAATGTGTTTCACATTTTCTTTAGTTGGGGACAGCAGAGTGGGGAATTGAGGATAACTTGTTTACTGCCAAACAGCTCTCCGTAGTACCTAGTTTTGCTATGTATTAAAAATTGTGGCTGGGGCCAAGAATGCTGGGGCTAGAATTAAAGACGAGAACACACAATAACTTTAAGTAATGGCAGAGAGATTTAAATAGCACACATCAGCAGAAAAGAATGGGGAAACCTACAGTACACTGACTTCATTGATACCCCATTTATCAGCAATTACTGACTCCATTAAAGGCAGAGTTTACAGCAGACAGAGAAACAGAGCCTAAAATATGTCCCAACAGATGGACGGAGAGTGTCAGTGATGCCGTATTTCAAAGGCATCTGCAACTTTGTTATCATTGTACATGGAGTCAGAAAGACAGCAAAAAACACTGGAGTAAGGGCCAGCAAATGATTTACTTGACCCTGCATGGGCAGAACTGACAGCGAAAACCTCATTAATTCCTCAGGTCATTCTGGAAGACATTAATTTGGTTTGGACTCGGGACGAGGGGAGATTTTCCAGACATACACTAGGAATTATGAAATCTCTATAGCCAGAGGAAAGTATGTCCAAATCACTTTCTGCATAAATCAAGCTGGCTTTCTGAAGAAGGATAATATGCCTAATCAGGGGAGTTATGGAACTTCTTGTACTTATTAGACAGAAAATAAAACAGTATTTTATTTGATAATCAGCTTTGGGAAGATTTTTTTTTTCCCCTCTTTCTTTTACTGCTGTCTTCTCTTGCCAAAGATGAGTTAAAAAAAGATCCTGATTCATGAGTATTTGCAAGTGTTATAATATTATTTGCTGGTGTGGCGATATGTGGGTATGTACTTAAAGAGAGAGTTATTTCCATAGATATAGGTAATAGATACGTATAATGTTAGTATGCCTGCTGTATTTACACATCTTTTGGCCTTTTACCTCTGTGCTGCAGAATACCAAGTACCATCACCTTCCCTCTCTTATTCTGTTTAACTCTTACTTATCCTCAGCCAAAAGCATCTGCGTGAACAGGGCAAGCAGAGTGGAGCTTCTCCCGAGGAGGCAGATACTGTGCCATATTTCTGCTGCCACATGGTCCCTCCTCCAGCCCAACTTTTCCCAGCATTGATGGACCCTGTTTTCCTCCTCTGAGACAAGGTCAGTTTGGCTCCAAGAGCAGCCCAAAAAGCCCACAGAGCTTCTGCAAATAGACAGGAGCTGCAAGTTACCCCACCAACCCCCCTGCAATACATGCTTTCCAGTACTTATACATAAGCCCCTGCCACACAGGGTATCTTCCTCCGTAAAAGATGCATTCATCATGTTTAGAGAAGGGTTATCTCCCCCTGGAAAGAACATGCATTAGTACTTTTTACTCATTCAACACTGGACACTCCCTATCAACAACAGCCTGCCGAAAGGGGAGAAAGAGGTGAATTAATCATGGAAAGAGACAATTTAAAGGAGCTTGGTTATAAAATGGAGTTCATTAGGAGGCCATAATGTATTTGGGACTAACAAGGTGCAATCTCCCCACCTCTGCTGTCCCAGTCAACAATAAGCAGCACTAATTGCATTGACACCATGTCGCAGGATGGCCACCTATAACCTCTTTTAACTCCTTCCATAGAGCAGTTGCACAAAAAGTTATTATTGCACCTACTGCAAATGCAAGTTCTCTTTCAAGATGCTTAGCTCCTTATCTCCTTGGATTGAGAGAAAACAGTGTTAAGTGGTCTGCAGTTTTCACTCAGGAGCTAAGGTTGTAATAATAAGCATGTCACTTGGCTCCAAGATTGCATTTAGAGAGATCTCAAAGCACATTACAAATGCATATGGCACAGACAGCATATCACTATAGGCACAGAACCAAGTAACCCCAGTTGGGAACACAGCACAAAGAACTTTTTTCCATCCATCCTCCAGGACATGACAGTGTCCATTTCTCCCTGCTTTTCTGGTTTGGCTTGTTAAAAAAAATATATTATGTTGGCTAATAATTCTTTTTTTTTTCTGTGCTTTAGATTTCTCTCTATTTCTGTTTCATGTTAGTATTATGCAAAACGGCCTATACAAAGCACTATTGAAAACACTGCCTCTTTAGAGGATTGGGTCCAGGACAAAGAGAGAGGTCAACCACAGACTGAAATACACAAGTGACCCAAGTTTGTACAGTGCTGCACGTCTGGACTTCTTTTGATTAAGTCAAAACAAGCCAATTTTTTCTAAGGCTAAATTACATTTCAGTTATTGTTGCGATGTTAGCTGATGACCTGAGCTCTATGCCACACACTAGAATCTAATACAAACCAAATATTTCATTTGGGAAGCTTTTGTTGCTCATCAGCTGCAGAAATACCACAGGAGGCAACTCTGCCATGGGGAACTATGTGCTCTGCCATCACCTAAGTGCTCTCTCCAGAGAGGGTCGTGTTCTTGCTATTACAAGGGTGAAAAGAAAGGCATTGCCAGCCAGTTTGCAGGTTTAGGAGTAGGCAACCTCAAGAAGGAAGACAAGTAACTGGGAAACATTTTGCTACGAGTAAGATAAATGATGGAAACAACTTGCAGTGTACAAATAGCATTTCTTGATTCCACTGACACTATCAGTTTAAAAGTGCAAATAAAAAAAATCTGGGGATTCATTTTCATGCTCAGATTATCTCTGTGTAAAGGAACTGAAAACAAAAGTGAATTGTATGTATGACCAGTTTGGCTGATAGAGTGATAGAAATCGATCTCAGCATAAATGAAAATCAGACCACAGGAAGGTCTCTGTTCAGTCGTGGTGACTAGATGCCTGAATCCAGAAAAATATGCATTTTTAAAGAAAATGGCCACATTTCAAATAACATTTGAGGTTATTCAAATATTAAGAGATGTTTTTTATTCCTTGCACCCTCTGTAAGTCTTTTCTTTTTTCTTATTCTCTTTTTCTCCCTCTTCTCTCCTTCCATTTCTCCTTCACCTTCCTTTCCTCACTTCTGTCAGCATAAAGACCAAACTGTAGCTAACTACATTCAGTTTGGTTTCTAGTCATCTCCTGCTGAATTTTACTTTCAGATTCTCATGCTCAACACAATCCTAGAAAATCTAAGTTAAAAATATGGTCATAATAAGTTTGCTTGCTGGTCTTGTTTTTAAATATTTCTCCAGGGATTAGTAACAAATCATAGAAATATTTTCTACTGGTCTTAAATATTGTAAAAGATTATTTAATTTAATCAAAACTTAAATATTAAGCCAAACTTCATTGCACAATGTGTTCCTTTAAAGGAAAGAGCTAATGAAAAACACACTAGGCCAAATTCACTCTATTTTCTTCACCAGGAAGATATTTGCTCCTTTATTACTGAGGATCATTTGTTTTGCTTCATTTTGCTGGGAACAGCCTGCAAATTTGTATAATCAGACCATGTTCTGTACATATTTTTCATGGCTATTCTGAAACAGTTCTGTCCTCATTTCTACCCCTGGAATGGCTCCTTTTTGAAATGTGAATCTTGGCTGGATGACTCACTGGGACACTAACTTTATCCTCATCTGTTTTACAGTAATTGGACTGGAGCAATTTCTGTAGCTGTATCTGGGATTGTTTCCTGCTTTGAACTCAGCAGTCATACTGTCATGTGTTAATTTTAGTGATTACACAAACTAGACTCTAGCCAATAAAGTTATTGTAGTCAAAAACATGGCTCTGATCCAAATCCTAACCCTATCTGCGGCAGAGTAACTGCTGCTTCACACTATGAATGGACTAAAATCAAACAGAAGTATTCACCACAATAACGTGCCAGCAGAACAATGTGCAGGATCGCTTCTTTTACTATGGAGCTGGGAATTCTGCACAGCTACATTCTGCACTGGGAAGCTTGAAAGTCTCCTATCTCAGTTATAAAAGGACATTTATTCTGTAATGAAAGGTGAAAAAAACCCAAAACCTTGTTGAATGTTTTAGCTTTCATTCAGGTAAAATCCCAGTTCAGAAAGGGCATAGAAGCATGTGCTGGAAATGAAGTGTGTGCTCAAGTCCCACTGAAGCCAGGTAGATTGTAAGCATATGCTGAAATGCTTATTTAAATTGGGCCCTTAATTATTACGTGCTATGAGATTGAACTAAGTTTCATATTATTTTCATACATCTATATTTATCTATGTGTGGGTGGGTGGGTGTGCAAGGATATATGTAAGCTGTTCCCTAAAGAACATTAAATATAAGGGGAAAAAAAAGAATCCCCCGCACCCTTCCTGCTAAAGTGGCAGATTATTTGATGGTTTTGACAAGCAAGATTTTAATGTTTTGCTGAAATGGCCATTTGTTCAACGAAAGGAAAGGAAAAAAGGATCAGAACTTGTTTTTATTAATCTTCCAGTACTGCACTCCAGATATGCTGTGTGTGCACACAGGGCTGCAGGGACTCCAGCCCATCCCTGCAGATTTCTGCATAGTGATCAAACACTTCTCATCCAAGCAGAGGGCATCTCTAAATGCGTCTGGGGTTTTGCAATTCAATTAATCAGCTATCAGTAACTTACATCTGTTCTCTAATTCTGTCAATTATTTCTACCAATTACATTATTCTATCATTATTTCTACCGTATCAAGTTTAAAGTTATGTGTACCTACTGGTAACCTACCTACCTGAGGATTTTCCCCATGTTAATCTCTGTCCCATCGGTTTACTAAGGGAATAGATTCACAAAGCTTTACCTGGTATCACTGCCCTGTGCCTTACCAAGACGAGCTGGTGTTTCTGATACTGTGCAAATGCAGGAAGCTAATAAAATTGAAGGGGGGGGAGTAATAAAAGATCTTAAATACACAGGTTAAAAAATGTTTTATAGACCGCCAAATGTAAGCTAGGGAGAAAATGAAAGCTTTGAGGAAGGATTTGATTTAGAGGGGCAAGATGTTTGGCTCCAAGCAGAGAGAATGAGCAGGCGCAAGTGAAACAGCATGGCCTATCCCAAGGAAGGGACAAAAATCTGGTCCAGGAGGAGAGCAGCCCACTGGTAGGAAATGAGGGAAGGTAAAGTAGAGTCCTGAGGGGTTTTACAAGGCAGGAAAGTGGTTTTGAATGGAATTCAGCAGTGGATAAGAAGGTGACAGTGGATGGGAACAATGTGATCCCATTTCTTAGAATGAGAAATAATCCAGCTATGAAAGTCTGTATCCACTAAACTTATGAAAGAAGGAATTTTTTTCATCTTTTTAAAATAAAAAGAGGATTTGCAGTTGCTGAGGTGTAAAGTCAGGTCTGGGTATGGAGGAATTGCCATACTGCTTGTAAGATAGTGACAGACCTGCCAGTGAGGAGATGCAGCCAGATCAGGAAAGCTTGGGCTTATTACAAGTGATGAAATGATATACTACATACCATCAAGTAGCAAATAAGAAGCCACTAACAAAGAACAAGGCAGAAAGGAGGCTTTCTCTGCTTGTCTAAAGACAGACCTGGAGCAAAGGCTATGATGCCCATGACTCCTGGGTTCTGCAACTACCCTCAGCAGATTTCTTCTAACTTTGTCCCGATTCAGCTTTAGCAGTTGCTGCCAGCTCCCATAAAAACATCTCCCATATGAGACATGGCACTCAAAGCCCAACTCCTGCCCTATTACTCAATAAGCTAAAAAATATGTGTTGTCATAAGGTTTTATCACAGCTGGGCTCAACCACAATGCTCAGAAAAAAACCCCAAGCCCGTCAGTACAACACTGTCTCTCTTAGCATGCAGAAGGCAAAAGGCTGCAGAAATGTTTTATGTTTCTGTTCCATCCCTGAAGTTTCCTGTTGTTTAGAAACCTCCTGGATACAAGGGAGATGAATTATTGATATGCCAGCCTTGGGAAGGAAAAGCAAGGCAAGATTAGAAAAAGGGAAGGGACCTTTGTCTGAAGTAAACTGTATAAAAAAGCAGGACATTCGGTTCCCAAGGAGTCCTGCACAATAAAGAGGAATCAGAGTACCGTGGTCTAGTTTATAAACTACTAATCATGGGTGGTTTAGTGCATGCTGCTGGCTTCAGTGTGTGCACAGGGATTTGCCTTCCCTTAAGGACTCCTCATCCACCCAAGTTTCCCCATCTAGAGGGGGTGAGAAAGGCAGGCCCCATGCATCAAGCTCATGAGACAAACAGCCATCCGACCACACAAAAAAACCCATCTGGTGCAGAGCTGGCCTGGAAAAGGTCCCTTTCAACTGAAAGCACCCTCCAGCAGGTTCTCTCCTTTAAGGCAATACTACTGTGCCCTCACCAGGGGCTCTGGGGTTAGGACACAGGATCTGAGGAATTAACCCACTTTGCTAGCACCTTGTCCTGCAGACTGCTATTTACAGTTTGATTAGCCCCATCAACTGGGACAGAGCACTTCTGCATGATTAACACGTGTGCGGCATTACACCACTGATATCCCTCTACTTCTCTAAAGATCCTATATACGGCTCACCACCAGCCACTTCCCCCTCAGCTGTGCATGCTGAAGGCAGGCAGGAAAGTTGCAAAAGCATTTACTTGCTCTTCCGTGTAATTATGTCCACACTGTTCTTAGAAAGTAGAGTCACGAGCTAAAACTGCAGTGTGTAAAGACCTGCACTGGTGTCCCTGCATTGCGCCTTCGAAATCAAAGCACAGAGGCAGCAGTCAAAGCACAGGAAGCAGCAGAAGGACCCTCTGTGGGTGCTGAGCTGCACAGGGGTCACCTGGAAGGCTGAAACAAAAGTTAGTCAGGCTGAGACACCTGTGGGTGATGGTTGTAGCTGGAGAGTAACTGAAAGACTCTGTTTGCCCAGAGGGAGAAGCAAAAACTGGTCTTTCAGCTCACTGACAAAACCAAACAACACAAAAGGCACACCAGGAGGAAAGACTGCCTGAAGTGGCCCTGAAATTGGGGCTTGGGGTTGGTTTGCTTTTTGCATAGCTGAAACGTAAGTGAGTTGAAGGCTGTATTTTGGTTCCTTCATAAACATTTAATGTCATTCTCAAGCCATTTCAATGAAACTGAAGTAAATCTGAAATAAACATTGGTTTTGAACAATGCTACTGAAAGGCTGTCTTTAAAATGTCAACATTAAATGTCTCAATGTTTTTAGACTTGTTTTAACTGCAACAATTACTCATTTCCCTTCACAGCAATTTTGTAGTTATCTTAAATACATGTTCACCAGTGGGGAAAAAAAAATGTGGCTGAAAATTGTTACCCTGCGTTATTTACCAGTACGAATTTTCACATGAAAAGTATCATACCAAAAATAAATGTCATCCAGCAAATAATTTATTTGATTGGATGCTGCTTATAAGGATGGACAGGAGTAAAAAGTACCGTGACATCCCTAAGTTCACTTGGCAAGAGTGAATGGAAATGTCCTCCTGTAGTAAGATAAAGGATGTTTTAGGTTTGCATTGGCCTCCAAGTCTATGAGTAAGATAACCATGACAACACAGAACCAGGGTAGCCATCACAGCCAGTTAAAAAAATAGCAATTGTTGGCCAAGAGGTTTTAACATTTCCAGCTGAATTTTTCACTAATCATTTCTTTTCCTTCTCAATTAAACATGAGGAGGAGCGACACGGATAATGAGTTTTGCCACCTTCTGCACGTGTGACTTGGTAACTCTAAGAGCTACCTTTGAATATGTCTATCTATGTAAAACATGCACTGTGGAAGTCTTTCATCGAATAGTTTGCTTCCAAGTTGCTTTCCCCCCGCCCCATAGTGCTGATGCTCCTTGTCACCACGTGCTGCCTCATGGTATGACCTTTTCCCCCCAGGGAGAGCACATCTCCTCTGGGCTGGAAGAAGCAGCCAGCAATGCCAGCAGCCAGCCCAAATGCCTAACCATCCTCCAGCAGCTTCATCTGCAAGCCCTCCAAGAGCCTGACCACAGGGACAAGTGTCCATGAGCCCAGCACCGACAGAGCAGGATACAACAGGACCAACAAGCGCAGC